TTGTTTCTTCATGAATATCTCAAATTTTGAAATCTTGAATTTTACTTATAAAAATAATTTTATTTGTGTCATTTAAGTTTCTCCATCTAATTTTACGATGATGAACCATAGTATTCTTTATTTTACAACGCTTAATCTTAAAATCTAGAACTAATAAACGATGTTGGGTACTTAAACTTCCACTTGGAAGACCTTATAATCTTTACAATATCGACAATCTCTTGTTCTCATAAAAAAATAACAAATTTGTAGTTTATTAGATCCATTCTTATAAGTAATAAGATGTCCATCTCTTTTATTGAATAAAGTATTAGTAATAACAAAACTATACGCTAAAGTAAAATCTAAAATATTTCTATCTTCCTCATTAGTAAAAGTCTTTCTGCAAGAGGTATCATTGGTATTAAGTCTTCTAAGTCATTCCAAAATTTAACTTTAGACCATGTGAATTATTTAAATTATTAGATATATGGGATTTATTCGGTCTCATATGTTTTAAAATTAAAATACTATTTTTCAAAATCAAAATTACATGTGTATACATACATTAAATTTAAATTATTTTCAAAATTTCGATCGACAGTAGTTTAAAGATAAGTGCTAAAAAACAACTTTCATGCTATCTAAGTTCTAACTTTTTGCAGTTGCAACTCATAGTACTTGGCATGGCATGGATTCATTAAAAAAAAATTTGTACCATGAGGATATTTCTAGTGTTCTCCTTTTTTTGCAAAAAAAAATTAATAAAAACAACAACAACAACAAAGCCTTAATCCCACTACGTGGGGTAGGCTACATGAATCCTCATTTTTTACCCGCATTCGCCCGTAATATGGGAACCCTTGTTTATTTAACATTACACCCGGGCGCTGGTATAGCGGCCCTTACACACTTTTCACTGTACTTAGGCTATGCAGCGCGTCGCTTCCAGGGGCGCCCTAGCACTTACACAATGATCAAAAAGATTCATGTCATGATTTTTTTTCGACAAGTTTTACGCTGGTTGTCGACTACCTAACGCAATCCTCCACTTTTCACATCCGAGCTTGGGACCGGCAACGACAGTGTTAAAATATGAAACCAAAAAGAGATGAGCAAAATAAAATTGAATGTCAAATATACTAAAATTAAATGTCAAAATATGAAACCGAAATAAAATTGCTCAGCTGAGAATTTGTTGGCTAGAATTCGAACATAACATGGAAATATATTAAAAAAAAAGCTATCTGAAAAGCTTGAAACTGGCAGCCATAGTGATAACGTAGCAAAATAAGAACATGGACATACTGAACAACAACGATACTTAAAAATTGTCCACATGTAGAAGGAACTTGGGGCTTTGACTCTGGATGTCAAAGGCATCATGCCACTTAGTAACTACTGATAGAACAAGCACCAATACAAAAGGCTTTTGAATGTTCATGTATCTACATCTAGAAACGTATGCGAACAACAACTGTATCTCAAGCTCAAACTTAAAATTTTGTACGAGCGGAGTAACAAAATGATCATATGAAATAATCTTACCATCTAGCAGGAACTCCAGCTTAATTACTAGGTTTAGGCGTCTAGCTTGGAAACAAAATCGAATAGGTGGGGAAACAATTTCTTAATGATTATGTTATTTGAGAGAATGGTACAAAACATCTGAAGATTGAGAAAAAGAAATGGTGAACACAACCCAAAAGAGAGAAAGAGAGAGAGATCACATTCCAAGAGGATACGAGCCTTCAAGCCACCACGTTTTCAGTCAATCATCTTCAACCAATTCATATTGTCCTAAGGTGCCCATTATATAGAAGAGAGTCCTTAGAACATGCTAAAATTTCTACAGACTGATACAATAATAAGTTCAATTAAAAGAAAAATTGATAGCATAGCTCATATTAAGTGAAGATTGTTTCCATATTACATATTTAAATTTGAAGTATATTAAAAACATGTCAAACTAGAGACACAACAACAATACTTATTGGGAAAAATTGCCAATTTTAATGGTCAAGCATCAATGTGTCACACATCAAGTTAGCAGAATTGTCTGGTATTGTTAAATAAAAGTGATCATATAAAGGCTACATATATTGGAGCTCCAATAATTAGCAGAGCAGAATTAAATGAGGAACAGATTTAAAATGAGTTTACCTCTGAAAAATCCAGCACTTGGCACAGCATCTAAGAATGTTTCCACAGCTCCAAGCACATAACTGAAAAGAGCAACAACACATGGCCCCATGTCAAGCAAAAAAAATTACCAATTGTTCGATGAGTATTTCATAATCGACAAAAAGGTGATTTATGGAACAAAGGCCTAACAAAACCAGCCCAAAAATATTGCCTAATAAGTTGCTTATATTTTGATGCTAACTATACTTTCTTCAAATGCTACAGCTTCCTGACAGTCTAGCGCAAGTTCTCAGATAAGTTGGACATTATTTTGTAAGCTTGCCAAAAATTAATTGGTCCTTTTCTTAAAAAGTAAATAGAATATTTAGACTCCACATAAAAGTTCATACTGTATTCTAATTTATTAAAATAGATATTATAAAGTGATACGGGTTAAATTTCCAGTTACAAATACATATGTGATGCATTTTGGAAGCGGAGACCAGTGTGAAGGTAGTTTGGTCACCTGTGTGGCGCAAAAGTGTAGTACTAAAAAAATAATGTGGAGACAAGTTTGAGTTTGAATCGCTTGGCAATTAGTAGAAGCTTCTGACGCTGGATTTGTGTGATAGAAGAATGAAGCAAGGTGTTCGCAAAGTCACATCACTCAAACGGTTAGGAGATGAAGGCAAGAAGGCAGGAGATCGAAAACTCAAGTCAGCGGCAATGGCACACATGTGTAAAACAAGTGCTGAGACCCGTGTTTGTGCATAGGAAAGAGAACGCAAGCAAGAGCAGGTGACAATGAGGTTGAGAGACGTCCATGGACTTTGTGTATGCACAATTTCGTTGTGAATCAGAGGTGTCGTTGACATGGGTGTCATAATCTATGTGAAGGAAAGCCTCAAAAAGGTATCATGACTAAAAGTGATTTGAGATAATGTGTGGCACATTAGACTTTTTTAAAAATTATATCTATGATGCTATTCAAGTGTATCTTATGTATTGAATGAAAAAACTTAACATATGAAAAGATATTAATACACAGGATCAGGTTCTTCTTGACTAAAAGTTTAATCAAAAGCCTGCTACAAAAATTGAAATGCCCCCAAGTTTGAGTCTACTAGTGTTGCCGCTCAACCTTTAAAAATGGAAATGCAAGCTATTCCCTAACTTTTATTTTAGCCCGCCCTATCAAAGGTCCCGTCAAAGGTTAATTTTATATTTCCATTATTTTCAAAGTTAGACTACAATATAGATAGTCATAGTAGCATAACGTATGGATATTTTTAAATTCACCACCAATAATTGAGATTACCAGGATGATGTTACTTAGCCTCCTATGCAATTACTTGGTTCGAAACTTATAAATTGATTTCATATTATCACCGGTCACAGTTTTTTACGGGATTCTTCCCAAATTATTAAAATGAATCATGATATAAGTCAAATTCATGACTTGAAGCCCCAGAATCCTTACGCAAGAGAAAATTACTAGTGCTATTGTTGTTCAAGTATCTATTATCGAAATCAACATCCACCATTGCTATGACAACACCTTTCAATTATTCAAAGAAGCGTTTCATTCAACCTAGGTAAAATAATGTAGAATCATCATGGTCAAATGAATCTAGATTTATTTAATTTAGGCATGTCTTAATTACGTTGAATGTGCAACAAAACAAATTGTCTAAGGACCCAAAAAACTCAAAAAACATAATAATTTTAGCTTGACTGGCTGAATGGGCGCGTGCGAGAGAGAGAGAGAGAGAGAGAGAGAGAGAGAGAGAGAAACCACTTTAGGATTATGCTAGACAAAAATTTAAAATAATGTCCAGCTCCTCGATGAATCGATGACTGATCCACCGCCTGATGAGACTAGAACATCAAGTCAAGCTACTTGAAGGCATTACTATCTTGGCAAATTGATAGGAATTGTCAAGTCAAAGGCTTGCTTTATAATGTGTGTTCCAATTGCTCTTCAGCGTATTAATTAGAGTTAGCAGAAATGGAAATAATCAATCAACAACAGCAAAAATTTGTTGAACCAGCTGCTTCAATTCAGAGGAAATATCTTGTCAGTCTTGCTAATCAAAATTGATGAAAAGAGACTCATGGGACACAAATGAATGAACTGACCCCAATGAGCGAGCACTACTTCGGACGATTGATGAGCACCGTGAAGTACAGAGATGAGTAATGCACACAAGAAATGAAGCCATTGGGCCGATAGACAACGCGTGCCAGAACAGTACAGGCTGAGTAACGGTCGATGTCGTGTGGGTTCAAACAGGAGAAAGACAGATGAGCTATGTGAGGTGGAATGACCGCATTGGGAAACCGAAAATCAAGTAGGTGAGGACAGATGAGCTATGTGAGGTGGAATGACCGCATTGCGAAACCGACAATCAAGTTAGCGAAAGGGCCCTAGTTATCAACAAAGGGTGGGCAATCAAGTAAGTTAAGGACACTAGTCATCAACAAAGAGCGAGTGCGTGTTCGGGCAAGAGTAGAGTCTAGTTAATGCTTTTTGTGCACGCAGTTGGGTCTAGAAGGCAGAGCCAAAACCAACAAGTCAAATTAAATGTTAGCATTTATTTTAAATTCAAAAATAGATATTTTAATTTTAAATTTATTAAGTATTAATAAATATTTTTTTTAATAATGTCAACAATTAAAAGCTCAATAGTGCAAAAATAAAAAAGATATAAAGGCATCATTGATTTTAAAAAAAGAAGAAAAAAAATTCAAGTATGATTCAACATTTATGTATTTTCTTTTGGTAAATATTTAAACCCTAGAGTGATTTATATTTTAAAAAATATTTCAGGGTTTTGAATGGAGGACAATGATAGATTAAATTAGAAATAATATAAAATGAATATTATGCCTTTTAAGTTATGAAATTAATTTAGAAATATTAAGTTCCAAAATTAGAAAGCTTAAAGGAATTTAAATTTAGCAAATTAAATATGGTCAATTACTTAAGAATATAAGACAATATTAAATTGTAAACATTTATACTTAAATAAAAGAAATGTAAATAAGTATTAAGCTAGAGAAAGTGGAGGCTGGAAATTAAGGTACAAAAAGAATCATCTAAAGATTAAAATGAGTAATTGCATTCCTACTTTGCGTTATCTATGGCTCTTTTAAATTTAAATACATTATTTGACTTATATTATTTCAACTAGGACTTTGTTTGAAATGTTTCACATCAAGACATTAATTGATATAATTAAATAAAAAATTATATCTCACTGCAAGCACGAAAGTGTTATAATAAAATTTTAATAATATTTTATACATTGCATTTACGTGAAAGTTTAAAAATGATTCAAATCAATGAAAGAAATAAAATGATAATCAAATAAAATAATGAATGAGTCATCAAATGGGCCACCTTTTATGGTACTAGTTGAGGATGTTATTATAAACAACTGCCTAAAATTTAAACAAATTGAAAAAGGAAATGGAATTGCACGTAGCTTAAATGGTATAATATTTTAGATGCTCCCGTTCCCAAAATAGCTTCTTAAATGAAATGTAATTGTCAATATTTAAAATATTTTTGATGAAATAAAATGTTAATATTTAATTATTTTGATCTACATACATATTAGAGCATATGCATAAAAATTGATATGGTGTAGAATTGTAATTATGCACTAAGCTTTATATAACTTAAAACGTAATTTAAATAATTAGTATAGAAAAGGCTCATATAAATTGCATTGTATAAAAGAGGAAAAGCAACTAAAAGTAGGTATCAAGGAAAATATAGCTTACTTTATAAAAGGGCATACACATAAAGACTACACAGTTCTTATGTATTTATAAATCTAACACTTGTAACTTTTATAATTACATTTAGAACACTCAAAACTTTTAACATCTCACAAAAAAAATGTTAGACCGAATTTGACGACGCTTTCTGCTACGCCAAGCCTGTCAAATAATTTGATGACCTATTTTAGATGCAAGGCTAAAAGGGCTTAGTCATTTGTTAGTTATTATTATTTAGGATAAATAGGGCTTAATATGATTAGGGATAAGGCATGTGCTTGTTGTCTTGAATTTTAAGAGTTAGAGTTTGGGAGAGATCACCTATCTCTTGTATTATAGGTGTTTATCTTTTCATATATTTGAGATTATATTATTTTGTTTTAGTTTTTGCCCTCATTTTTGTGGAATTTTATCTCGTTCCTATTAAATTGGAATCAGTCCTTTGGAACTGTGAATGAGTACTAGAGAATTTGGAGAGCAGTAACCAGAAGAGACAAGAAAGCCTCGACATTGATATTCAAACAAGCGGAACATCACGACCAAACTTCTGATACTATGACGATTCGAGCTAGTAGGGAAGCCAACATCATCGTGGCGTTTCGTGAACAAACCTTGCAAAATAGTTGAGATTTGAGGGAAACAATCAAGCAAACATCTAATACAGTCAAGATTCAAGCTAGTTGGGAAGGTGACAATATTGCAACACACATGGTGTCTCCTTGGCACCACCTTCATGATGAACCTCGCGATACACTGTTGGGAAGCCCGTGATGAGATCACGGCATATAGGAGTTCCACATTCGTAATAAAAAAAAAATCATGCTAAGAGTAATGGCGGCCAAAAAAGAAGATTCTTTTGAGGAGAAATTAAAGAGAGAGGTGAGACAAATCAGAAATGGATGAAATGATGAATAAATTGTGAAGTTTCAAACAAACCTGTGGCTGCCTACATTTGGTCAAGTAAACAAATCAGAGTGGACTCGGGCAGAAACACTTAGAAGGTTTTCTTCCCTTGGATTAGGAAGCACTACTATGATATTTGGTATGAAATGATTGCACTCCTTTGGGGGGGGTGAATTGGAAACTCGATGATGGAGTTCCAAGTGGGAGCCAAGATGTTGGGGTGTCGTAAAGACTTAGTTTATTCAAGTTCTTTGTAACACTCAAGACCATGAGTAGGGTAATACAAGACGTAGGGTTAAGATTCTTGATTGAGTTGCATGGCACGAAAGAGACGCATGATACGGAGTTGTACGAGATTCTGACACCGATCAAAAAACTCCTACAATAATTTGTAGAAGTTTGCTAATTGTCA